GTTGATGATGCGATGTCGAGCTGGCGCGAGCCTGTCTCAGACTGAAGTCTTCCTGCTCCGCAATGGAAATGGCTTGTTCTAGTGAATCTAGTTCAAGCCGGAACAGGTGAGTCTTGACGGGACCATCCGCAAGACCCTGCATGAACACCGAAACCAACGTGTGTTCATCCACCGGATTGGAACTTATACAACTCGTAAGATGTCGTATATGTTGGGCGTAAGCGTGCACATCACGCTTACCCTGTTTGAGCTTCAAGAGTTCGGTTCGAGCCCTGAACTCAGCTCTGGGCGGTTCAAATGTTTGTCTGAGCCGCGACTTGAAGACTTCCAACGACCCAAACGCATATGGGTCGTGCAACTTGAGCCCCAGTGCCCAAGTCTTGGCACGTCCTGCCAGATTTGACTGGGCAAATGCAACTTGCATATCCCCGTCGTCGATGCGACGCGCCCTTATGGCGTCATCCAATTCGACGAACCATCTCAAGAGGGAGTCTTCTTCGCCCCCCCTATACTTTGAGATGTCAATCTTCAAAGTCTCGGGTCGACGCGAGTGCATCGACCCGCCAGCAGCAGCCTGCTGCTGTCTCAACAGTTCAAACTGTTGAGCACCTTGTTCTCTCAACAACTCTGCTTGTTGAGAACCTTGTTGGTGAAGCAATGCTACTTTCTCGCGTTCAGCGTCAAGTTCATTTTGAATGAACTTGGCGATAGTAGCATGTTGGGCATCTCTATTGAGAGCCTCTAGCATGACGCTAACAGCATGGATGCCCATGGTCGAACCCATTCGTTCAACCGCATCCCATTCGACATCGCTCAAATGGGAGTAGCCGTCACGCGTAGCGTGAAAGCTTTGGTCATCTTCATCATCCAACATATTCATGTTGGATGTGAACGCGGTCCTTGGACGGACTACGAAGTGCTACCAGGTGTAACGGGGCACCCTGAAGCTTGTACTGGTGACAGTACAAGCTACTCATTCTGATGACAGAATAAGGCGGTGCCTCGTAACTTCACGTACACTCGTACGTGCAGAGGAAGACGGTAAGAAGAAGCGAGTACTCGGTTAGAGTAAAAAGTAGAACTGTATTTATAATAGTTAATGTCTGCAATAAATCACTATTTATCTTCATCTAACTATGTCTAAATACAAATGTGTAAATCAACTATCTGCTCACCACTCATTGCGTGCGTCTGTCGTGGCGCGTCTTCGTTGGTTGATATAATGGCCTATATCAACCAATTAGGAACTACTTGTAAGTGCAACATAATATTTGTCCTTATGACAATATTCTGAGAATATAACTCTTATAGTTATATTCTAATAACAATTTCTTATAAATTGTTATGTAACGATTCACCCCGTTACAAATGGATCGTGCGTCGCGTTCTACTGAAGTCAATTGAGGCATTTGAAAATCCTACACGACCTCGGTTTCGCTCAGAATCACGCATAAAGCCACTAATGCAAGGAAATTGTCAAAGATCTCACTGGCCTAAACTCATTTTCTTGATAGCACTTTACACACATACTTTTGATGCTCTCGTCCGGCTTATTTACTTCCTAAAAATGCATAAAATGCGATAGTGCGTCATGTTCGTTAGCCACCTGGCGACGTATTCCAGTATGACGTAGGTAGGATCCAGATCCAGTAATAGCGAAATTGGTAATGGTAATTTAACATGTGGTAATGGCGCCGCCAAGTGTAGAACAGTAACGTATACGGATGAGCAAGAAAGGGTTTAATCGTTGCGGTTAGATGGGCATTTCCTTTCGATGAAAATATGATATTTCAGTTTGACCAATCAGAAACCTGAAATCTCGTTTTTTTAGTGCAGAAGTTAATAGTGAAGCAAGGTCTACAGCCCGCCCGTGGAATGAGTAATTTAGTTGAGAGCACTAAATTGAGTTCTGTACATTCATGTACCAATTTAGGTGGGAAGCAGCTGGAAAATGGGTCGTGTTTCGTGTGTTGAAAAAGGAAAGTGCCGATATAGTTCTGCGTGTTGAAGCTTAGCGTTCATGGACATAATATTCCAATGCAACTAATATGAGAACGGAAGACGGAGGATGATCCTGCTCGGGAACGCCGTTGTGAACAAAGTGCCGCTGATGACATAAAATTGAACTACGAAAAAGAGTAACTTATGTGAGGGAGCTTCATCTGCCACCGAGGGACCATTCATTCTTGCTTTTCTATTTACAAAGTATTGCATATTTCCAGAGACTACTGCAGATTGTGAAGTTTTAGTACAACAGGACCAATTGCATTGCGTCGACGAAGTGTGAGGTTTTCGCTGACTCTATGTGTGGAGCATGTGATTGCTAGTAATCTGTTTGGCCTAGGTCACTTTTGAGCCAATCGTGTCGGGCATAGGTGCGTGTGTGACTTCCCCACTCCATGCAATCGCATTAACTGTCCTATCTAAAGAGTGGCACCATAATCCGTAATTACACTATTTAATATGAACTGGAAACGTAGCATAACAATGTTAGAAAAGGTCATCACGGGGGTGTTGGTAGGCGAACAGGATGCCCTGTGCGCCAGGAACTCCTGATACCTTACGAAGCGACGGCGGGACACAGCTAAACCACTATGACCGCTACATTTCTGACACAGGGGGGCCAAGTACCAGGATAGGGCGGCAATCTCCACGTCGCTCGGAAAACACCCGCGGTGTTGTCCACGCTGCCACTCAACGACGGTCCAGCGCTTATTGTAATGGAGCACCCTTGGCTTGGGTGCCACGAAATTTCACGTAAACTAGCTGTTTGAATAAAGAGTAGGAAGAGAGCTGTATTTAATATAGTTAAGCTATCAGTATAGCTTCAATCTTTTTTTAACGATATTAAACTACGTCGTCGTATCACGACAACCTGCTCACCACTCATTACGCGCGTCTAGCAGCGATTAGTGGTAACCTATGGTTGACGTGTCTAATATCAACCAATCTTTGAGCAGTGAATGAATATTATCCTAAAAGGGGGTAATATTCCTTCAATATTATCCATCTCGGATAACTTTGGTAGGGAATTGTCATGCTAGACATCTCCCTATAGACACTGTTTGGTGTCAATATGTTGTAACGGGCTACCCTGTTACACCATCCCCCCCTTAACCATCAATTACCCGTTAATTTAACATAACAGATTAGGACAGGTTAATCACCTTTGGATCACTCTGGGAAGGAGAGCAATTGTTGGTCAAATTCCAACTCATTTGCCGATTCATCGCATGGTGCCAAAGTCCATGCAGTGTGCTGCCAAAGCAACCAGAAGGGCGATTGCACGCATGCGTGCAGCCAAAGATAATTCTTCTCTTGATTCAGCAACAGGCGGTGCCAGTTGTGAACAGACCACGGGGTTAGTCACCACGTGCGACAGATACATCCGCCGCGTCTGCAGCTGGTGCTGCGACTCGCAATGTAGATGAGCCTAGAAAAGCTCATTTATTCTAGCGAGTCGGATGATGTATCCGACTCGAAGGAGACACCTCACGCCGCCGGATCATCCGGGGGGGCACTGCAAGAGCCAGGTTGACTGGCTCTGGGGAACGTGGCGGCATCATATCCGAAATCGTTGGACCGAGCGACTCTTCTGACGAATCCTCGTCTCACGTTAGTATATCCGACGCGTGGTGATGGCGGTGATGTTCCTATGTATCACCACGAGCGAAGTGATTCATGAGATCAAGCTGCCGCTGGTGTCAGTGCTCATGCTGGCACCAATCAAGAGGCCAGTGACCGCAATGTCCTGCGCCATGCTCCTCAAGTGGTGTCTCCTAGGATGCCGTCTTTCAAAGAGTTAGATTGAATGGCCAGCATGACCACCGAACGGGATCGAATCCCGTTTTTCGACTGTAGGAGGATCTGTCCTCCTAATTTCAGCACGGAAAATATCCGTGCTGAGGAAGAGTCCTTCACCGAGGCGTTTTCAAACATCAGTGGTACTATGGCAACCGTGGTCGAGACGGTAAGGCCTTGGTTCTAGGATGGAACGCTTTCATCCATAACATCGAGTGCATTGGCCGTGAGGCCTGGCTCGCCAAAATTGATGCAGCTCACATCAGGTTTGAGAAACGCAATCCAGTCGGGGCGCGATACAAGTTGCACCGACTGTCAAGAAAGGCAGAACAACCCTGTCTCCCGTGGGGTGATTCGTATCTAAGTTGCCTGAACAATACGAATCGTGCCCCTAGGGAAGCCTACCTTTCCAATGATCCCTACGGGAGGGCGCGCATCTCTTCTGAGATGGCCGAACGGATTGACACTTTGCAATCCCTGTACTCGCGTTCGGGGAAGTCATTTTCCGACGGACCTTCTTCGAACGCAGTGGGTGGGTCTCGTCATGTTGCTCGACGAGACCCAGAACAACAACAATCAGCTGGGAGCGAGGCTCCTATCTGTACCAGGACGATGAATAGTCTTGCCAGTGGACGAGGTAACTCGTCCGGACGTCCTTCCCGTCGCGTTGGTTCGTAATAAGCGCTACCAGAAAGCGTTGACCACCGCTATAACCCACCAAAGTATGAGGTGGTGGCGGGAACACCCGATCCGGCTCGAGGGTCGGATCAGCTTGAATTCAGGAACTGAATTGTGTAACGGATTATCTACACAATGACTTGGCTCATGAACAGACTCGGCATCATGATCTCCATGAACTCGTGATGGATAATTATAATTCCTTAGCTCACAATCGTTCGAACGATCGTGCGGCGTTTGCGTTTGCACAACTTGAGAACGAACGTTCGACTCGTTCTCTTCGTGACGAGCTGGCTGCAGCTCTTCAAGACATCCCTCAACTGCGTGAGCAGGTAGCTTCGCAATTCAACCAGACTGGATCACTGAAACGGGACCACTCAAAGTTGGTCTCGGCCCTTGACCGCGGAGGTGTTCTTCGCCTCTCGAAATGGGGTCTTACTGATAGTATGGGTGGAGGCGTCCAACGTAAAACGTAGGATGCGTACGCATCCTACGAGTCATGTGAATCATGATGCGTTGCTTTAACGGCGCAACACACTAAATGGACCGATATACTTGGGCATTAATTTACTGCTGCCCTCGTTTGTCACTGCGTGTTTCGGTAGATTTACTGTAGACAGTAAAACTAAATCTCCTTCATCAAATGAAAGAACACTTTCTCTTCCATGTTTGTCGGCGTTTCTCTTCTGTACGTCTAGTGCATCTGCAATAGAGTCTTGAACGAAGCGGACAACCGCTTCGCGAGTCAGCAGAAATTCATCTGCTGATTCATCCTTGTCAACAGCAGTGCGCTTCGCGTGCACTGCTGAAAGAACGTTGTCTTCACCAGTGAGGGCTTCATCGTCCTCACTGTGGCAGTCGTTGGCGAGGCTGAATACACCACCATCGTCGTTATCATCATCATCGATGTCGATCGCATCGACATTGGCATCCATCACGTCGACATCATTGTCGACGGGTGATGAGCAAGAACCAGATTGGTTTTGTTCAAGCGAGTCCACTCCCGCCTTAAACTATAGTCACACTTTAAGAAGGCGAGTAAACGTGGATGGCATAGGCCATTCACGAAAAACGGTGTATGCGTTGTCGACACATGCACCGAGTTGTTGATGGCGAATTCCGCCATCGGCAAGAGTTCACACTAACTCGTAAACGAGTGGACATACCCTCGAAGTATCTCTTCCAGGACGCGGTTGACTCGTTCCGTTTGACCATCTGTTTCTGGATGGCCAGAAGTCGACATCTTCAAACGTGTTCTAAGTGAACGGAACAAGGATTGCCAGAAACCAGCTGTAACGTGGGAGTCCCTATCAGACACGAGTTCACGGGGTAACACGTGAAGTCGGAAGATAGTATCGAGGAAGACACGAGCACAGCCCTGGGCTGTGATAGACTCCGGTACAGCAACGAGATGTACCATCTTGCTGAACCGATCAACAAACACAAGAATACTAGTATTCTTGTGAGCATCTTTTTTTGGGAAACCCAAAGATGGAATCCGGACTGCCAACACTCTGCCGGAATCGGTAGAGGCTGCAAGAGTGTACGGGATGAAGGACTAGACTTCACCCGTTGACAAACTTCGCAAGAGCGAATGTATTTCCGCACAAACTCACACTGGCAAGGCCAGTAGAAGTCACGACTTACCGTGAGGTAAGTCTTTTCCCTACCGCGATGCCCACTTGTTGTGGCATCGTGACACTCCTACATGATGCGCAATCGCAAATTATTATGAGCCGGAACGACGACACGAGGTGTGTCGCCATTGACTGCTGTATAGTACAGCAGTCCATCACGAAACTAATACCGTTCGGTTGAAGAGCGGTTAAGAGACGACAAGCTTTTCAAAGCTTAAGTGCATGAATTAGACACGTAAATCATCATCCGCAGAAGAGACTCATCTTCTGCACATGCTTTTCGCACGTCGTTGAGCAGATTCGACGACGGAACACTTACTGTCAGTGTCGCTACTGTGGGATCACCCCTAATGTTGTGTGGAGCAGTCGGCTCGAAATCGGGCCGACGCGAAACAGCATCAGCGACGACATTAAGTCGTTCTGATTTATACTCGACGGAGAAGTTGAACTCCGCGAAGAAAGTCGGCCACCTCGCCATTCGTTGCGAGAGATGTGGACTGTTCACGGCCGTGCGTAACGACGCATGGTCGGTATAAACTATGAAGGGCCTATCTCCTAAGAGAAATACCCATAACCTAGCCAGTGCATATTTTATGGAAAGGGGTTACTTGTCATGCACTGAATAGTTCCGCTAAGCTGCTTGCAGCTGACGCGATTGATCACAGACGACGCGCTTAATGCCGTATAAGTCGTACTGCATTATTGTGCAACCGATCGCAAATTTCTAGTGTCGTAGACCACATCAAATGATCTGTCCTGGTCTACAATCGCCAACACAGGCGATTTTATCAAGCTTTTCTTGATACTTTCGAAGGAGTGCTGACACTCAGCACTCCATGACCAACTCTCCTTCTTTTTTTGAGACGAGAGAGATGTACAGTCATCCCGGCATAGGTGCGCGAGTATTTATGCAAATACGCTGCCAAGCCAAGGAACTTTCGAAGTCCCTTGACGCCGACTGGCACAGGCCAGTCGCTAATCGCCTCGATCCTTTCCGGATCAGGGCGTACACCGTTTTTACCCACGATGCAGCCAAGAAGTGGATTTCGTTTGCTGCGAATATACGCTTCTTGATATTCGAGAACAACTTATGCTCTCGCATAAGTGGAAGAACCTTTTGGACGTGGATTCTATGAACCTCCACGTCTGTCTTTCCATCCTTAGCCCGGCTGTGGGCGAAGACATCGTCAAAGCAACTCGGTGCGAAATTGCGCACCGATCGCAACAGATTCGTTACACATCTGTTAAACGTTGCGGGGGCGTTACTTAGCCCCTGTGGCATCACTAGCCACTCCCAGAGCATACCACTGGTGGTGCTCACTGCTGTGTACGGGATGTCCCGTTCACGCATGAGGATCTGATAAAATCTATTTATCAAATTCACGGATGAAAAGATGGTACTTTTTGCCATACCATCAATGATGACATCCTTTCTCGGGATCGGCGTTTGAGCCGGTACCGTTGCAGCTTTCAGTTTGTTGAACGCGTGCACTATCCGCCACCCTCCTATGGCCTTTTGCACACAGAAGGTCGGAGAGCTGTGTGGGGATGTTGATTCCCTCACATGACCAGCCGCTAAACGATCAGCAAAGAATTTGTCGATCGCTGTCACCTGTTCACGAGGCAGTGGCCACTGCTTCATGACACAGTACTTCGATCCGGGTATTAGTTCTGTCTCATGCCGAGTGCCTTTTCCCGTAGGCATCTCGCATGGCACGGATTCACTGAAAACATCCCTGAGTTCGATTAAATCCTTATACAAAGGATTTGTCTTCAAAGACTCCCAAGATTGAGATGTGTTTCGCTCAATTCGGGTCTTCCCATCGAGGACACTTTCGTCCATCGATGAGCTACTTAGAACCCGTTCGTTCTCAGCAAACACTTGTGCCGACCGAATATCGGCGACGTACTCGTCCTCTGTGACGAGCACGCAAATCTGCATGATCTTGTCACTGCGCAGATCTCGCAAGAATCTTTTAGATTCTAGCATTGGCAACTGACTACCTCCGAAGCTGACTTTGGAGGTGTAACAAGATCAAGTGCATAAGCTCCTACACTTGATCCGTCATTCACCAAGACATTTAATGTCTCGGTGCTTTTATGGGAAACACATTCGCAGGTGGTTGGGGAAACACACCCTCAACATAACTCTCTCGGGAGTTATCACTCTCAGGAACGCTAAGACCTTCTTAAAATACGTGTACTGACTGTGGGTGTACTACCACAGTCACGTCCTCATCGATCGACTCTCTTTCAGTCGATCGGGCTTGCTTACGATCGACTCTCTGATAGTCGATCTCACTTCAACGTGTTGTTTATCCTGAACAACATTAATTTGTCTTCTTGGATGCACCCTTCTTGGTTTGTGTTTCAATCCACTCGATCTCTTCGAGTGGTGAACCTTCGACGCAGCCTGTGTCTCTGCACATGTACAGGAAGCTGGTTCCACAGTGTAGTAGCCTTCTACACTGTGATCTTGTGCAGTCATACTAACGACCGTACCACAAGTGAGGCCATCGCACTCACCCGAAGTACATCCACACGCTTGTGGACGCTCCAAGACGTTCATCAGACGGCCATCTGATGAACAAACGGCAGGCATCTTCACGGATCGATGCTGCCAGATAACCCATGGCTAGTATTTTCTAAGTCATGGCAGACCGAGGATGACATCAAATTTGTCATCCAAATCCAGTACGATGAAGTCATCATCGTACTGCTTTCCTTCTATCGTGTGGTGGATTTCCACTACACCTTTTTCACTGTTACGGATGCGCCTGTAGCAAGGCACATCGTCATCCTCGTTGGAGGGAACTCGCGCTCAACATACTTGAGCCTACTATCCTCTAGCGACTGGCGTCGAATAAAAATGTTCGATGCCCCACAGTCAACTAGATCGAAGTGACATTCCACTTGTCACTTCGATCTTCGAAGTGAGGAGGGACATTTAATCACTAGGGACAGTAACACACAGCGACTGTGTGTTGGAAGCAATCTTCGTCAAGAGTCCTGCTAATTCTCGTGACGTTGCTGGCTCAGCAGGGTGCTCCGCCCCTACTGACCCTGTCCATTTTGGCGGTACGACTTGCTGTCGCGGTTTAGCGAAATGTTCAGACCCGCGCTTAGGACCTTTCCTCGGCCAAGGCGGTCATCACATCCTGTCTTTGGATGTGTTGCGGTGCTTGGGACACTATACACATAAGCGTAGTGTCCAACCTTCTGACAGCGATGGCATCTTGCCGTTCGCTTGTGACTCAGAGAGCGATAGTTCTTGCTCTCGATACAACAGAGAGATGTTTATTGGTTCGGGACCTCCTGTTTCCTGTCGTCTCGTCGGACGATAGTTTGACGAGCTAGCCTGAGACTGTCGCAGGCTTAATTCTTCTTGTGCCGCATACGCTATCGCCTTTTACAGCGTATGGAAGTCCTCTTGTAACATGTAGGTCTTCACCGGCCCACCCACAAGGCCGTAGATGAACACGTTGATGAGCGTACGCTCATCAACAGGGTTCTTCGTAACACTACTCTCAAGGTAGCGTAGGTGTTGTGAATAAGCGTGCACATTACGCTTACCTTGCTTGGGCCTCAGGAGTGCAGAGCGTGATCTGAACTCGGCTCTCGGCGGCTCAAACGTCTCTTTGAGCCGAGACTTCAAGATATCCAACGACTCAAACACGTTTGGGTCGTGAAGCTTGAACCCTAAGGCCCAAGTATTTGCTCGTCCCGTCAAATTTGACAGGGCGAAGGTGACTTGCATCTCGTCACCCTCGATGTGACGGGCCCTGATGGCATCGTCTAACTCGACGAACCATCTCAAAAGGGAATCTTCATCGGTTCCCTTGTACCTTGAGATATCTATCTTCAAGGATTCGGGTCGACGCATGTGCGTTGGCCCGCCCATCGACTGATGAGAGCCTTGCTGCTGTAGCAAGGCTATCTTCTGTCTTTCGACGGCAAGTTCCCCTTGTAGGAACTTGTTGACATGTTGCTGGTCTCTGCTTAGAGACTCCAACATACCACTGATGGCGGGTTCACCCATGAGCACACTCATGCGGCCGACTACCTCCCATTCTGAGTCACTCAGATGGGAGTAGCCTTCGCGTGTGACGTGAAAGCTGTCGTCTTCTACATCCAACATGTTCATGTTGGACGGACACTAAGCAGTCGTTGGACGGACTACGAAGTGCTACCTGGTGTAACGGGGCACCCTTTGTTTGGGGTGCCGCGAAACTTCACGTACACTAGTACGTGCAGAGGAAGTTATTTTAGTCAAACAGATCGTTTATCGAAAGGGTAAAAAGAGAACTGTATTTAATATAGTTAAGCTATCATTATAACTTCAGTCTTTATCTAACTATATTAATCCACACTGTAGTATGACGACAACCTGCTCACCAATCATTGCGCGCGTTTAGCGGCGATCGGTGGCAATCTATGGTTGATATGTCTAATATCAACTAATCATGGAGCAGTGAATGAATATTATCCTAAAAGGGGATAATATTCCTTCAATATTATCCATCTCGGATAATATTGGTAGGGAATTGTCATGCTAGACAATATTCCTATTGACACCGTTTGGTGTTAATTTCATGTAACGGGCTACCCGTTACATCTTACCCCTCATGTGTTCAACAAAGGCAACCTAAGAGTTTGTTGCCTAAGAGATAACGGACTCCGGCGTAAGCGAAGCTAGAGAGCGGACACGTCGTCATACCGAGAATACATGGGTGTCGGCTTACCCAGAAGGAATTTACACAGTTAACAATCAGAACAGTCGAGTCAATGTGCCACTTAGGAGCGCGATGTACAAGACAAACAATCATTTTGCCGTAAGAATAACAAGAGAGTAAATGTCGTGTAATAGAATATTAGACGCCAGTAGTTACCCGAATGCACAAGTAATCCCTTTCCGTATCGGACAAAGTCCAATGGAAACATGACTGCATGTGATGGTCCAAGAAACTCCTGAGCGGCAAAAAGTCGCCAAAGAACACCATGCTTGGCTCTACGTTTTGAGCGCTTTCTTTTTCTTCTTGTACTTGTCAAAGTACGCCTGCACCTTCTGGTTGTAGTTCTTGTCGCGCTTTTGCTGATTAGCTGTCTTCACAATTACTTGTAGCACATCCTCGTCGCAAAGCAGATGTTCTTTGCCAACACGTTGCGGATTGTACTTTGTGCTCGTGCCCCACACCAACGCATAATTAAAGTTGTCCAGCATGTCTTTCGAAATCTACACAACGTCGCCAAAACTAAGAACAACAGATCCACTATGTTTCTGACAGCAGGCATTGGTTCTTACCGACATGCACGCAGATTGCACGCTGACACCTTTTCGCTCCGAGCCCAGAACAACTGGTTCCTCGAATTGAGGAGCCTAAAGAGACAGCTTACAAATTAGTAGCGACATTTCTAGCGTAATACATACATGTTGTCATACCTCCCCACGGCGCTTGGTGTACACACGTGTCAACCCCATGTAGTCCCACATCTTGGCGAGCAGCGTATCGAAGTTAAGCTGAGCCGCAAAGACAAACGTAGAGTTTGTACAATGTGCATGCATGACATCGATCCAAAAAGAAAAAAAACGCACCGCAGGACGATCCTCGTGGGCACAAGCGATTACAGTCGAGTTTGGCATGCGCGCGAGTCGGGCGACATCTTCAAGAGATACAACATCAATCTTGTTGTACACGTACAAGCACTTCACGTACTTCCGGTTGCCTTCAATCACATCAATCAAATCGTCCGTCGTGCAGTCCTCGCGGAACAGGACCTCGCAGTTGTGGATTTTGTACTCGTGCAAAATCTTGTACACCGTCTGATACGGATCATCCCCGAGCTGGTGAAGTGCGATCAAAACAGATCAGAGTTGGCACTAATAGTGAGCCAGCTTGACAAACGCTTCGCACCTTCGTCAGACGCAGCGTGCTGTTAAAGGTGATACCACCACCATTTTTCTTCCGGAAATAAATGTCAGGTGGCTGTCGATTCAGTCGCAATCCGACAGTCTCCAGTTCGTGTTCGAGAATCTCTCGATGACGGTTACCCGCCTCCCGACCGGCGTCGAGCACCATCAGAATCATGTCGGCAGACTTGGCCACGGCAATCACCTCTCGCCCACGTCCTCGTCCGTGCGCAGCTCCTTCGATAATTCCTGGCAGATCGAGCAGCTGCAGTGTTCGAAACGAGAGCACGGAACGTATGTTCCACATTAGTCCCATTGCTTGTCATCGGCTACAATAAAAGACGTACCTGGATGCGAACGTCGTTATAAATCAAGTTTCCAGGAATACACGTCAATGTAGTGAACTCGACTGCGTTTGTCTCCGACTGCGTGTCTGTCAATTGACTGTTTCCACACACCACATTTCGCACGTCAGTCAGCGTATACGTTTGGTCTGCGTTGGCTCCAACGACACACACGCACCTCAGCATCGTTGACTTTCCCACGCTTGGAAACCCAATGAGAGCAACACGTCCGTCACCACTCTTGGCGACATCAAAGCCTGTCATTCAAAGCGGTGGACAACCTTATGTGAGCACCGTGCAGCTGAAGGTCACGCGGCTTTAACATTTGTGCACACCTTCGCCGCCGCCACTGCTCGACTTTCCTTCCTCAAGAAGCTATAAATTCCATGGAGTTTCCAGCCGAAGAAACGGAGCAAGATGACGAGTAGCCAATCAGCGATACTGCATCTCAAGAACCTTAAAACGCAGTGCAGCGCTTGATGACGCACCTCTGTACGTAGTTTCGCCAGCTTGGCCTTGAGACGTCCGAGATGACTCTCCGTGGCCTTATTGATCTGCGTCCGTTTCATCTCATCCTCTGTCCACCAGCAGCAGCAGCATCAACACAACGACAGGTTACCACACACGTATACAAATAAGTATACACACACAAGTCCCTGACGTTAGTTTTTCTGTCTTTCGACTAGGTCGAACGACCGAGATGAAGCTGTGCGTCATGCAACTAGACAGCAAAACAGACACGCACCGATCTCCTTGATGCGATCGACGATACCCATGCTGTCCCTTGTCTGCTCTTCGATGTGAAGCCAGCGGCTTAGGACACTCCCTCACTCTCCGCCAGTCAGTCAGTCCTCTCTGGATCGGCTGAACTTGCACTGAGCGAGCGGGTACAAAAGCGCGAAATTCCTTATTTCAGTGGTCGGTTGCGTTCCTAGTTTGTGTACAGCAGTATACATCTACACCAAATGTTGGCACTATGCATCCACACCAAATATGCAGGCAGTATACACCGTCCTCGCACGACCTCGAAACCCTCAAAATGGCTGCTGACAATGCACCGCCTGCACGCAGCTTTGTCGCCGCTCTCATGGTCGGTATCCTGTTACAGTATCATGTATATGTCGCTGGGTATGTCCATATTACTATGTGACGTGCTCATGTAGGGTGGAGCTGTAGCTGGGACGTCGGTGGACATTGCACTGTTCCCGCTCGACACGATCAAGACGCGACTGCAGTCCGCCCACGGGTTTTTCAAGGCTGGAGGCTTCCGTGGTATCTACTCTGGACTTTCAGCTGCTGCTGCTGGATCAGCTCCAGGGGGTAGGCATCGCTGTACAAAAGACGTCGATCCCAGTAGCGTGCTGACGACTGTGGTTCGTTCACGACGGTGCACTTGGTGTGACCTGTAGGTGCGCTGTTCTTTGGCACATACGAGAACTCCAAGTCGCTGCTTGGGGTGATTGCTCCAGCGCAGAAGCATTCGCCCCTCGTGCATATGGCAGCTGCTGCTTCGGGTGAAATGGTATGGTACGGACGGATGGATGGATGGATGTTGGATACTGTATACTGTGAAAGCTTGTCGCGCAGTGAAGAGCGATGAGTGGTAATGACCACAGTCACGTGATTGTGTGCAGGCAGCATGTTTGGTGCGCACTCCTACTGAAATTGTGAAGCAGCGCATGCAAACGGGTGTCTACAAGTCACTACTGGAAGCACTGCATGCGATTCGCGTGACTGAAGGTCTGGCCGGATTTTACCGAGGCTACTGGAGTATGATCGCTCGAGAGATTCCGTTTTCGTTCATCCAGTTCCCGCTTTGGGAAGGGCTAAAGGTACGGCATGCGACGTATCAATCTGTTGAGTACATGTGACTCACGCACGATCGTACTTGCATCTGCAGTATCAATGGTCAATGAAACAGAATGCTCCCGTATCCTCTCTACAGGGTGCGCTTTTCGGGTCGATTGCTGGTGGTATAGCAGCGTCCATCACGACCCCGCTTGACGTAGTCAAGACGCGGTTGATGCTTGGCAAGGACGCGAAAGGCGTCCCGTACGAGGGCGCTGTGAGCACACTATCGCGCGTTTACACTGACGAAGGTCTCAAGCGTCTGTTCTCAGGCGTGGGTCCCCGCACGATGTGGATTAGTGTCGGTGGCTTTGTCTTCTTTGGCATGTATGAAACGGCCGTCTCGACGTTTGCAGCGATCGCATAGAACTGCTGCAATGGTCAGGCGCTGGCCACGCCCTAGACTCACTTGTCCGAGGTAGAACTGATCAATAGAGATGTGACGACGCTCGTTTCTTGCGTCATCGAATGTGCGTCGAAGACGACGTGCGACTTCTGATCGCCCTTTGACTCGAAATTGCTCAGAGTTTTCGTATTGAAAGGACAAAGATGCGACTGATGCAGTAATCGAGTGGGTCATGCGCCTTCACATGTCGTCACTCAGCAGGCAAAAAAGAGCGGCGAACGCACATACTTTATCCGTGTCTAAATCTGTCACATCAACCACACACACACACAGACAGCCTCCCTCCCCCCTCTATACCTACGTCACTTTCGAATCTGCAGCCTCAGTCAGAGAAGAAGATTCCCACTCGTTCCCTTTGAATATCTCCCGCCTAACTAATGGCTGCCTCCCCGAACAAAAAGCTCCGCGAAGCCTCGCAGCTGGACCAGCTGAAGCAGTTCACTACTGTCGTGGCCGACACGGGCGACTTTGGGCAAATCAACAAGTACAAGCCGCAGGATGCCACGACGAACCCGTCCCTGCTGTTCAAAGCCGCTCAGATGGAGCAGTACGCGGCCCTTGTGGACGACGCTGTCGCCTATGGCAAGGACCTATCGCCTGATCTGTCCGAGACGGAGCGTCTTGGCTACATTATCGACAAGTTGTCGGTGAACTTTGGCGTGGAGATACTGAAGATCGTGCCTGGCTACGTGTCGACTGAGGTCGATGCTCGCTTGAGCTTTGACACGGAAAGCACGATCGCGCGTGCTCACCGCATCATTGATCTGTACGAGAAGGCTGGTATCAAGAAGGACCGCATCCTCATCAAGATTGCCAGCACGTGGGAGGGTATCCAGGTGTGCAAACAGCTGCAGAAAGAAGGCATCTCGTGCAACATGACGCTGCTCTTTGGCTTTGCCCAGGCGGTGGGCTGCGCTGAAGCGGGTGCAACGCTCATCTCGCCCTTTGTGGGCCGCATTTTGGACTGGCACAAGGCCAAGACTGGCAAGGAGAGCTATGAGTCGCATGAGGACCCTGGGGTCGTCTCGGTCTCGAGGATCTACCAGTACTATAAGAAGCACGACTACAGGACGATCGTCATGGGTGCGAGCTTCCGTAACACTGGCGAGATCATCGAACTTGCTGGTTGCGATCGGCTGACGATCTCTCCTGCTCTCCTGGACGAGCTCACCAAGTCTACAGCCACGCTGGAAAAGAAATTGGACCCCGAGACGGCTGCCAAGGCATCGACCGATGAGAAGGTGTCGTACACCGAGAAGGACTTTCGTCTGAGCATGAACATGGACGCTATGGCTACGGAAAAGCTCGCCGAGGGCATTCGCGGCTTTAGCGCGGACATTGTCAAGCTCGAGCAGATCCTCCAGACGAAGCTCGGTGCTTAAGTACCGAAAAGTGCATGGACAGCACCAGTCGTGCTCGTGGTGGTGGTAGTGGTGGCTTTGATGTGGACCTCGTTGTTGCACGTATGTAACGCCCAAATGAAGCTTTCCATTGTTTTGAAAACAAAACAAAGCGTTTTTTTCTTGCACGTAATATATATAAAGTACGTTTTCCAGACGAGGGGATCCGATCAACTGACCAATTGATTTTCTTGGCGCAGCAGAGACGACCGCGGAAGATAAATGGTCGACTTTGGTGAGAAGTTCCAGCTGAGCCGCTGGTTCAACGCCAGCTCCAATAGCAGCAGCACGCACTCGACAGATAGCGAAGACGGCAACGGCACAGGGTCGGTGGATGACGCTGCAATGTCATCGTCCAGCGTGAACCTGACCGAGTGTTTTATCTGCCAAATGCCCAATCCCGAGTACATGTCGACGAACACGGTCAAGAAAGCGCCACCAGTGCCCGTGTGCTCTGTTGGCTGTGAGGCCAAGTATCTGGAACGGAAAGGTATGCGGCCGTCAAGTAGTGCCTCCAGAAACGCAGATCCGAAGCTCTGTTCCATGTGCCATGCAGCTACTTCAGTGTACGCGGTCAGCAGTCGCAGTTCGGTGACGCGAGTGTGCAGTAAAGAGTGCGAAGAAAGACTCCTCCGTCATAAAAAGCGACGTGTGGACACGGAAGAAGACGGCAGCACGCTGGGTAAGCGTTCCTGTGGTGAGAACGCAGCGCCTGCCAAGCGTCAACGCCGCACGCTCAATTTCTTGGGTGACCAGCTGCTTGGCAAGTCGGACGGCAAAGGCTACAAAAGCTGGTGGCTTGGAGCTCTTGCTTTCTATGACTTTGTGTACCAACGCCATGGAATGTGGCACAGCTACTCAATCAGTAACGACGTGCCGCGTGTGGACACGTGTCTGATTAAATTTGGTACGTATCTGATGAAAAGCAGGAATTGGGAGGAAGTGTTGCCAGCTATTCACCTACTGTTATAGGGATGTTGACTCACGGTCTTTACATGTTGGTGAATGTGTATTGTGTGTTGCAGCAACCTGTAACATTTATCGCGAGCTAGACCGCAGCACGGCGTACTTTCGGAAGCATGTCCTTCGATGGCAACAATCTCACCACGGGCAACTGTGTCTTCGCGAGGTTTTGTGGATGGCGGTCGCGTTCAGGTATTGCAATCAGCTGGAAACTTTTTACAAGCTGAAAGGTATCCCCGGCTCGGACGACTTCCCTCTGTTTAAAAAGCGGTACGTTTGCCTTTGCCTGTCGATGTTGGAATAGTGGATACCTAACATTTGAGCCGACAATGCTTCTAGTCTGCTGGCTTTAGCAAAACGTGGGGACGCTTGCGATGTCATGGCGGGCAACCGTGAGCTTACGGTGAGTACCTATCTAGAGACACTGGAGACATTTTTGCAGAACATTGATGACACGACAGTGGCAGTGAAGGGGTGTACCACATACAAGGACATCTTCGATACGCTCCGCAAGTTCGAAGACAACGCTCTTGGATCATTCACGTGCTGGCAAGTCGTCTGCGACCTGATGGAACTACACATGCTGGCCGACAACATCCCTTTGGACGAATTCGTATGGCTCACCTTGGATGCGAGAAAGAGCCTCGTGCAGATTTTTGGCAAAAGCCGCGCGCGCCCGTCGGAATATGTCGCGCTTACACGATTGTTGCAGCAGCGCCAACTCCAAGGGTTCAAGGCTCTTCAGGTGAAATTTCCTTTCTTTATGAACCAGAAGCTGGACCTAAAGAACATTGGACACGCGCTGCACAGCTTTCAGGTCTACCGCAACATGAAACTCATCGAGCATAAGCAAATTCACAAGCAGGAGCCCGGCACGTCGCAGCCTGTTGTGTACAGCTCGCGCACGTACATGATGGACTCGGAGAACTGCGAGATCTGCTCACGTCCGGATTATGAGGACGAGTTGGTGCTGTGTGACATGTGCCAGCGCATGTTTCACAAGTACTGCATCAACATGAACGAGCTACCACCGGCCTCGTGGGTGTGCACCTCATGCAAGACGCTGCAGAACTATCCGCGGGAAGGTCTGCGTGTGGAGCAGGAAGTCATTTCAATTGATTGAATAGGTGTCAGACGCGAGGTTGTAAACAACAAGCTTTCCATACGTTCGGTCGAGATACACTTGCCATCACTTGCCCCTTATTGCCATCACTTGCCCTATGTAGTACGTTTAGCGCACGTGTACTGCTGTTCAGTCAGCTGGTGATTTCGCCGTTGAGTCCGCTTCATTCTTTCTTTCCCAACGATTCTTCACGACTTGATAGTGGGAATCATTTTTCCAGATGTAGTAGAATGCGACCACGTCTCTGCAGGACTTGTTGGTCTGCACATATAGAGCGATTAGCCGTTGACACACACAGGTCTCTAGTTTTCATTCACGTACAACATCAGCAATCCGCGGAAAATCTTTGCCGTGGCACTCGATTGCAACTTCAAACAGTCGGATCTCAAACGGAGTCCACGTGTCTAATCTCGTGCGGGAAATACTGTCAGCTACGCGTTCACAACCGAACCACACACAAGTGGTAACCACACATTTGTTGCTTACCGAGTATCGATGGAACGCGCAATGGCGAAACTCCTTTGAGGCCTCGCTGGAAGCAGGCAATGCGCTGTAATCCAAATGCAGAAACCTTTTGTCGCTTCTGGTTCGACGCATACGATGGCTGAGGAGCATAAATAGCCCGAGCAGTGTCAAAGTAATCTTGAATGTACAGCTGCCGCTCTGAATATTTGCAGGTCCAGCCATTAGAATTGATCACATATTGCCAAGCCGTACAGAGTCACATACTTTGAAGACGACCCATGAGCTTGAGTGTTTGTATGGTTACGTCTGGTTCAGGCTCGGACAGAATGTCGTCCGACAAATTACCGTCGTCTCGCGCTTTCATGCCTGACCCATGCTTCTTCCAGATATAATAGAATGCAACTGTGTCCTTTACACTTTTCTTCGGAAGCTGAGAGGCACAACGATGTACGTTGGACGAGTCAGCATGACAAACGCCATTGCATGGAAAGCAGTTGGTACTCACCTGCTTCGCAATAGCGTGGAAGTCCTTGCCAAAGCACTCATGTGCCTCCTCAAACAGACCAATCTCGATTCCTGTCCAGTCGTCTGATCTTGCATTAGCAACTCACAGGAGCAACCAGCACAAAAAAGGAGAGCTAGAGAACAGAGTGTATAGTTATACCTAGAATTTGGTGTGCTCGGAGAGGCGACACCAGCACTGCCAAAGCGTCGAACGTGGACAGACTCTTCAGTCCGTACTGCCGCACAACAAACGGTTGTGTAACCCATTGTCCTTTCACAAAACACTCACAATCTATCGCCCATCTTAAAACACTGACGCATCACTTTCCATCGTCTTACCAAGTTGGGCTTCATTTTTAGGATAGCCAACGGCCGCTTCATCCGGCATTGCCTCTCGTACAGCGTCCGTGCTGCTCGCAGATACCGCCGCATGTTGTTCATTTTACCTATCACGACATCATAGTTACACATTATCATTGCATTGATTCTAGCAGTGCTGTACTCGGTAGGAAAGTTCCATATCCGGATACACACACAAACCATGAGCGTCTGCTGCATCAGATCTCTCTCTTCCTTGCCAAATGGACGCCGTCTGTACACTTTTCTGCACACCACGGTCACCTGCAATTCCGGCTTCATTACTAGCGCCACGTCCACTGCTTCGATTGATGCGCATCTGTCGATCAAAAGACCCATTAGAGTGAGTTAGACGCTGTTGCTCACATACTCGAAAGACACATTTATAGGAACAAACGACCACACGAGGACTTCGTCGTGTACCATCGGACGTCGGTTGTGTAGCTGCAGACTCTGTGATGTCACGGGCGAAGGCGCGAGCGACGGCTCTTGAGATCCGGTCCGAGACTTGGCGCCGTCGGCTTTCGTCCGGCGTGGCATTTGTTCCTGGAATTGTGTCCAGCTGAAAATGGGTCATCGGTTTCGAAAGGACCCAGTTTGGGCTGCCAAAACCGCGAAAAAGGGACGCGTTTTGTGGAATTCGCTTGGTGTACTCATTTCTCTCGGTTAAGTACGATTACGCGCAACGTGGACTTGTCGAAGCTAAAGCATCGGAGCAAATGACGAGGAGTGCAGAAGGTCGTGGGAGCGAGCGGCGCAGCGACGATACGTTCGACTTCTTGCGTCGGCTGTCAATCGCAGACGCGAAGGTTCTTCTGGATAAGACAAGGTGCGTGTTGCTGGCCAGTTGTGCTCTGATTCGCTGAGAAAAGAAAAAAAGAGATCTCGTGTGTGGAAATTCTGACTCCGGCGTGACCAAATGACATTGAAAATGGCAGGGAAGAGAAGGAAAAGAAGAAGGAAGAGATGCAGAAGATGATTGGTGGACGATACCGCGACCTCATTGAGTCAGCGGACGAAATCGTGGCCATGCACTCGGCTGCGATGCGTCTCGAGGTGTCGCTCAAGGAGATGCCCGAGATGTGGCAGCAGATGGAAGCGGCACTGACAAATGCATTGGATATGGAAAACTATCCGGAATGTGCAAATATGACGGATGCTGCACATGTCACACGGAAAGAGGGAGATTATATAAAGGAAGCTAGTGATGTAGACCAAGTAGCGTTCTTGGTGGAAGTCACGGAAAAGATGTGGCGACTTTTGGATGAAGGGAAGTCGTTAGAAGTGCTGGAGCTGTACGAGAAGGCGGAGAGGATCCACGATGAATGGGTGGCAAATGGGACTGCAGAGAGAGAGTTTCCATTTTTGCAGTCGCAGTGGGCGTGCGTCCAGTGCTTTCGGCCGGTGAGAAGTGTTCCCATGGTTCCTTTGTTGCTGTAAATACACTTATTTGATGTTTGTGATGTGCGTAGAGGATACTGGCATATGCAAATAGCTATCTGACTTGTCGAGGAAAGAATAGCCAATTTTATGCGGACAGTTTGAGCACGCTGGCGGTGCTGACGAATCCACGCATTAGTGCTGAGAAAATCGTCGAGATGTTTTTTGAGAGTCGCTCAACATGGTTGACGTCTGTTTACAAAAGACATCACGACAAATGGTTTGCGCTGACGCCTTCTCAGAAAGAGCGCACATTAGTGGTCATTTTAAAAAGTACTAGCTGGACAATTATACAAACGGAGGAGATTTTCTGCGAGAAGACCGGGTTATTGACGTCGACATCTCTGCTTCCACGGAGCTTTAAGGGTGACCTTGAGGCATGCATATCGTCGGGAAAATTGCTGGAAATGCTAAGCAGGTGGTTTCAGCAGAATCAACAGCAGGTATGTAAAGCTGAGACGTATCGTTTTCTACCGAGCACAACCTGCGTCTAATATGCTTTCGCATGTTTCCAGATACGCGAGGTTGTATCGGCGATTATTTCGAGTATCGATTCGATGACGTCACTGTCTCAAGTTCGGTCTAAACTTGTCGTAGTCAACAAAACTTGCGGGAGTTGTCAAAATGCGACAGTTTGGCAACAGCTCTGCAGCGGAGCTCGCGCTGACCAACCTGGAAGTGTGGATAAGCACGTAGAACCACCTGTCGAGTCTGTCTTCTCTGTTCTTTACGCTGAGGCATTCCGAAAACGTACGCGCGATCTGGTACAAAACTCGTTTGTCGAAGCTCTGGAAGCAATCAAAAGTCAGTTTCGCGCGCACTTGCATGAAACGGTGGCTGGCGTTTCTCTGGCTGATTTACCGCTGGGAAATATAAAATTCTACGACCACTTTGAGAAGATTCAGAAAAAGTGTGCCGATATAGATGCAAGTGAACTTCAAAGCGTACTGACGGAAGAATTTTTTCGCACGTTATTAAAACTGGTCGTCTTCGTTGAGCAAGAGTATCCAATTCCTGGGAACTGCAATCACGCTTGCGTGAAAAGTGAAACGCAACTGTCAAGCATCCACCTTAACATTTCCAACATATTTGCTGGGATTGTGGCTGAGTTCCCTCATCGAATAAACAACTTGCTCCCTGGACATTCAAGCGCAGTTTCGATTCCAGAAAAGGACCCTGCATCCTCAATCATTGGCCAAACATTTGAAAAGTATGCTGTCAATGGTTTCGTGGAGAGTGCGTATCTAAGGTCTGCACTAAAGGTAGGGGTTGCTTGGTCAAAAGTTGGGTGAAGACTGGTGGTTGACTTTCCATTTTGCCAGGAAATTATCGAGGGTGACGAAAAGATGTTGCAAGTATGTTTTATTGACGACGTTTTGGGGCAAGCGGGTAGCTTAGGGTGGCATTCGTTTTGTTTGGTGGCGGAGCTGAAGCAACAAGCATCATATTCACAAGCGTTTATCAACGTGATGCACGGACTTTCCGCGAAGTATTGTGAGGCGTGGGCCGACATTCTCCTCGAGCAGAAAATTGAGCCATTGCGTGAATTGATGCATGCTGAGCAGTACAAATCAACTAACGAGGTACAGTGTGTATCGATGTGCTTGGCATGTTAGCATGTTCGTTAATTGTGTCTTGCTGGGATGCATATAGGAATGGATTGCCGCCCACGAAGGATGGGTGGAACAAGAGATTTGTGACGAAGATCTTGGAGGAGGTGCCGCTGATTCATCTTCTGAGTCTGAAATAGCTCTTGGAGCCGAGAAAGTCTGGTTGCCATGGTGTGAAACGCCGACAGTGTCGAGCTTCTTGTTTTCGTGTTGCTACAGCTTAGATAACGCGAACCGGTTGATCCAGAGCCCTGGCAGCGCAAAAGCCGCGCAGATGAAGCTGATGCAGCACACAATGCGTGATGTTTTGGTGGACCGACTTACTGTTGTCATCGTTACCGCGTATGATGCTGCGGTTTCTCTTCTCGTCGAAGCAAAGACAAGTCAAAAAGACTCGGTGTTGAACTTTGGTGAGTGCTGCATTCAGCAGTTCTTGTTCGACATGTACTTCGTACGCGCGACGTTGGGCTTTTCCGATTTTATCCGTTTTGGGTGGGGCGATGAGCTCGACACGAAGAAATGCTCACCTGGGCTGCTGAAGCTGAAGGCTTTGTTCGAGCGAATGCGAGAGTTCATAGACCCGGTGGATTGGGAGATATACGGCCCTCAACTGATTGGGAACGTCGTGCTACAATTTCGAAAAAGCCGATTGCTCTTTTCGTCACTGTCAGAGTCGAATGACATCAACAAGATCAGTAAGTTGAGGCTGGTAGTTTTGCGCTCTGGAAGCTGAGTACTGACTGTTTTGCCTGTGTTCTAAACATCAGATGGCAAAGAAATCGTCATCGTGGCTCATGAGACTAGACCGCTAGCTCGAATCGCAGAGCCTGTCGCTAGGTTTTCGTTGCTTCCTGTTCCTTTAAATCGCCGCAAATTTAGGTGCTGCGTGTCGCCTCCAAGTGAGGACGGCGTAGAGAAACGAAGTCGAGCAAGCAGCACTTCCCTCTTTCACGAACGGGCGGCTGAGGATGATGGGTCTAGTTTTCAGCCTACGGCGTCGAAGCTACAGAATCTGCTGTCATCATCGACCAGCTCAAACATTTTGTCTGCTGCGACATCAGGCACCAACTTGCTTTCGTCCGCAGCAAAAGGCATCGGGTTTCTGTCTTCTGCAACGCACAGTCGTTACTTTTAATCGCGACAAGAGACGGTGTTGCAAACTGCAATGGTTTGCCGTGTTCTAGTTTATGCCCGTATAAACCGTTAGTACCTCATTGCAAGCCTCTATGTCGAATCTACGAACTTCATTGACGAACCCTTGGAAAGGGCCCCCCACTGCTGGTCATACACCTTAACGAATGCACCGGTTTCGGCTTCCTTGGCCGACACATCCTTGTTCTCCAAGAAATATTCGTTGGTAACGACACGTAGCGTGTCCGCCATGAGATCGCGAATAACGAAGTGCAAGCGGTCACCCGTCTGTTTAAAGTCCGGGCCGGGGTTGAATTCTAAAAGCCACACGTTGAAATCCTCGTCAACCATAAAGTCCACGCCATAAACTTCAAAGCAATTGGGTAGAGGCTGGAAAACCGAGAACTCGCCCTTGAATGCGTCAAAAGCCTCAGCCGTAATGCAGCCAATGTCGGCTAAAATCTTGGTCTTCCTAGCTGCAGTATCCACGACACCCTGCTCGGCAAGAACCTCTTCGATGTCGTCCAGCAACATCACACACTCGCTCTCGACGTAGTCTGGATGGCTCTGTTGCTGGAACGTGTTCGTGATGTGCGAGTAATTGTTGTCCGTGTCGTTCTTGCAATACCGCTCGAGAGCGGAAAGCACGAGACAGTGTTGGTATACGAACACCTTGAGACCACCAACAGCTAGCACGTAGGCGCGGATATGAAACTTGCGACCCCGCAGCAACAGTGGCCGTTCCATATACTCTTGGATTACCCATTCCCGGATGTCGGTCCACTCGTTAACGATCGTGCGCAACTTTTGAAAGTCGTTAATCACATTCACCTCGGCACCCTTATTCGTTGCACTGGGCTTCATGATCCACGTCTTCTTCGTCTCTGTTTCAAGTACCTGCTTCACTTCCCATAAACACGCATCCAACCGCTGTCGAAAAGAGAGGCCAAACTGCGCCATGCTATCATCATACGCCTCCCACGTGTCCAATACAATAGTGCGCGGCACAGCCTTGCTCAACATGCATTTCTTGTGCTTCTTCATGTACTTGGACAGGTAAATGGACAGCTGTGCCTTGCGGGACAGCCCTTTGCGCACACAGTACGCGTTAGCCACGACCTTTCCGGTCAGAATGCTGGTCCAGTCCAGGTTTTCATACTCGTCCCACTACAATCTCAGCAATAGTAACAACCACCAACACAACGGCAGCAACAAAAACGTCATTATGAGTGATACAGACGATAAAATGGTATACAATTGCCAACACTAACAACAACGCGCCTCGTACAATAAGATCCGGTAGCTCCTTCTGGTCGTCGTCATCACCTTCGTCCGTAATCACCGTGTACATGGCTGGATGCAGAGCAAACGCGCGGTCCACAAGTGGCGCTACGTACTCACTGGACACACCTACCCGCGCGACCAGTCGATCCCTGTAGCCATCAGCTGTCCCGCTCGCTAGCACTCGGTACTTGATGGCTGTCGCGTGCTCGCTTGTCTGCCAGTGGTGCTGCTGCATCGCGTGCTTCCGATTGAGGAACTCGCTAAAATACGATTCTACGCTCCATCTGTCCTTAAGTCAAGGGACGCCCCCTCTCCCTCTCTAACACATCAGCGCCCTACCCCCAGTCCCACCCCAACAAACAAAGCATCGGACACCAAAACTACCTATTTCCAACCAGATCCGCTACCTATTTCTATCCTGCTCGGTTCCCGTCTTTCCAGTCGCCCTTGTCAGATCCCGATCTCTCTCACCCGAATCAAAATTAGAAACGCCGACGTGAGCGCACACCGTGTGAGCAGCTCACTCGGCCTTTCTCACTCTCTCACTCTCTCCCCTCTCTCTCTCTCTCTAAGACGCGGCCAATGCGTCGCGAGGGGGAGAAAGTGTGGTGCCCTGACCCGCGCAACGTGTGGCAGCTCGGTACTGTAGTCGGAGACGATGGCGAGAAGCTCCACGTGCTGCTGCCCGAGGCCGACGCCGCGCAGCAGTTCACCGTCGACCAAGTGCATCCCTACGATCCGTCGCACGCGCTGGACTTGAGGAACGTCGCGGAGATGGACAATCTGCACGAGGCGCCGCTGCTTGATTTGTTGCGTCGGCGCTACCTCCAGGATCATATTTATACGTACACGGGCGACATCCTCATTTCTATCAACCCGTACAAGAACATCCCCATGCTCTACAACTTTCCAGAGCTTGACTCGGTCATTGGGAGACTCAGCGAGAACCCTATTCCACACGTCTATTCAACGGCTCATGGCGCGTACCATGCCATGAGGCAACACGGCAAGTGCCAATCGATTCTCGTCTCGGGCGAGAGCGGAGCTGGCAAGACGGAAGCGTCCAAGTACATTATGCGAGTACGAAAAGACGTTATCTGGTGGTTGAGGGGTTGGCTGTCTACTGGAGATTTTTCACTCGTCTGACTTGTTTTGTTTTCCTGTTGGGACGACTGTCTCTCGCTCGCTCGCTCTTCGTGTGTGCGTGGTTTTCTATTGCTGTGATACTGTAGTATTTGGCCAACATTTCGGAGATTGGAAAGAAGACGCCCAAAGGGCCAAAAGTAGAAGCAGATGCATCGTCCGTGGAGCAGTGTGTGCTGCAGAGTAACCCACTGCTCGAAGCTTTTGGTAATGCGAAGACAATCCGCAACGACAACAGTAGCCGCTTTGGTAAGTTCATCAAAATCTACTACCATGCGGACGGCACGATCTCAGGCGCGACGACGAGCCACTTTTTGCTCGAAAAAAGTCGGATAGTTGGTAGTGCGGAGGCTGAGCGCAACTATCATATCTTCTACCAGATCTGTGCGGGCATGCCTGCGGAAGAAAAGAAAGCTCTTTATCTCAAGCCTGCAAGTGAGTTCTGCTTTCTCAATCAAGGAAAGTGTATTCAAGTGCCAGAGATCAACGACAAGAAAGATTTCCGGGAGCTTGTGGAAGCCATGGGCACTGTAGGCATTCCGGCAGAACTGAAACACACTATTTTCCGCCTTGTGGCTTGTGTATTGCACTTGGGTAACCTGGAGTTTACGGAGAATGCAAAGAATGAGTCTCAAATCGCTCATCCCGAAGACGTCACGAAGTTGGCCGAGTTGATGATGGTGACGCCGAGTGAGCTTGAATTCGCTCTGACGAAACGAACAATGTCGGCAGGTGCGCGTGGATCTGTGGCGGAGATTGCGCTGACTGCTGTAGAGTCCATCAAGTCACGCAACGGTTTAGCAAAAGACGTGTTCAGCAAGATATTCGACTGGCTCGTATCCCAAATCAACAAATCGACGGCTTATGTCGGGGGCAGTCTTGGTGTAGGCACGGGCGGCAAGTTTATTGGAATTCTGGATATCTTTGGCTTCGAAAGTTTGCAAGTAAATTCGTTTGAGCAGCTGTGTATTAATTACACGAATGAAATGCTGCAGCAGCAGTTTAATCAGCACGTGTTCGTGTACGAGCAGGAAGTTTATGTTGAGGAAGGCATTGACTTTTCTCGTTTGGAGTTCAAAGACAATGGGCCATGCTTGGACCTGATTGACAAGAAGCCTTTGGGCATCCTGCCCCTCTTAGACGAACAAGGAATGCTCGGTCGACGTGCAAGCGACGAAAACTTCATCCAGAAACTGCACCAAACTCATTTACCAAAGAGCAAGGTTCCCGAGGGCACAACAATTTATTACTCGAAGCCGCGTTTCGCTACAGATGAATTTGTGGTCCACCACTATGCTGGCGAAGTTACCTACAACGTTACTGGCTTTTTGGAAAAGAACGATGACTCGTTGCACAATGACCTGATTTCACTGATGGACAGCTCGACGTGTGAGTTTTTGCGGAAGTTATATCCAATCACCCAAGCCGGCGTAGCAGCTGGCGGAGCCAATTCGCGCAAGCCCATTCGGAAAGCAGGCAATAAGATGACAGGTACGATGACAGTTGGTCGCAAATTCCGTGATCAGATGGCTGACCTAATGGTAGAGCTCAAAGCCACGACACCGTCTTTTGTGCGCTGCGTTAAGCCCAACAACTTGCGCTTTCCACAAGGATGGAACGCTGAGCTGGTTCTCAATCAACTTACTTACCTCGGTGTAATGGAAACTGTGCGTATTCGTCGGTCGGGGTTCCCTGTTCGGCGGCTTTTCGAAGAGTTCCACCAAAAGTATCAAATTTTGACTCGCAACATCGCAAAGGATAAGCGAGCAAATATGACGGACAAAGATTATTGTGAAGTCATACTACGCTTCATTTGCCGTGAGAACTGGCAGCTTGGACACAAGAAGGTTTTCCTTCGCGATAGCCAATTGCGTATATTGGACAACGAAGCTCGCAAAATTTTGCACGATGCCGCTACTATCATTCAAAAGTATGTCCGCGGGCGACGACAGCGTCGAAGGTATTTAGATTTGCGAAAAAAGGTGATTCAGATCCAGGCCATGATCCGGATGTTCTTGGCAAGGCGTCATTATCGGGTTATGCGCCATCGTATAACATTACTAAACGCTATGACAAAGCAGTTCGTTCAGCAGCGAAATTACCAGCGCCTGCGCAAGACAACTATTTTTGTTCAGAGTCATGTTCGGGGCAACGCAGCACGCCGGTATGCATTCTATCTGCGGAACGCCGCACCTGCCGCAACAAAGATTCAAGCCCAGGTGCGCCGTTATTTAGCTCGCAGATCTTTTCTCAAACAAAGGCACGCTGCAGCGAAGATTGCAAATGCCCGCAAGATGAGAAAGCAGCGGGCTGAGTTCCTGGCGATGCGCACTGCGGCGAATACGATTGCTTCTCGATACAAGGGCTATGCTGCAAGGCGAAAGTATCACGATATGCAAAAAGCAGCTGTTACGCTACACGCTGCGGGCCGTGGCTATAATGCGCGCCTCAAGTATGGTAAGACAGCTCGTATGCGGGCGGCTACGCGCAATAAAGCACAGATTCGTATTTCGCGAGCCGTTCGCGGATTTTTAGCTCGACGTTTCTTCAACGTCTCGCGGCGACGCATCATAATGATTCAAGCACGCGTGCGAGCTAATCGCGTTCGCACCGAATATCTGAAAGGCCGGGAAGCTACTATCAACTCTCAAGCTATGATCCGTCGGTCTCTTGTGCGCCGTAAATTCCTGCGCGAAAAGAAGATGGCCACGCGTATCGAGGCGTTCGGACGAATGATTGTCTGTCGTCGGCGTTATAGAGATGAGCGCAACAAAGTCATACTACTACAGTCCCTCTGGCGAATGCATTATGCTCGTAAGCAGTACCAAAAGCGGGATCGACAGGTGATACTGTTGCAGTCGCTCTGGCGTTGTCACACTCAAGCAAAAAAGTATCATGATACGCGGGAGAAGATTGTCACAGTTGAAGCGTTCGCGCGCATGACAGTGAAGCGTACGAGGTACTTAAGGGTGAGATCAGCTGCACGCGTGGTGCAAAAGACTGTACGCGCATTTTTAGGTCGCCGCCAGAAAGTTCGTTTCCGCCGTGGAGTTGCACGAACCCAGGCGCTATGTCGAGGCTATGTCCAGCGAAAAAAGTATCGCCGCACCATCCAGCGAATCATTATGGTACAAAGCGTGTTCCGTCAGAAGAGAGCAAATAAGCTTGCAGATGTTCGACGTCGGGCAATGGCACGAGTACTTGCTGTTGTTAGGATATTTATGTCTCGAGTGCGCATGCGAAACCGCACTCAGGCTTTGTTTAGTGCTGCGAACACCTACGACCTGACCACGGTGTTGCACATTGCGCAAGAGATGCCAGGGATGTTGCGTGTACGTGATCGCGACCACGACATGATGTCTCTGATCCACGTAGCAGCCAAGAATGGTGATCTGAACCTGGCGCGCTTTGCTCTAGAGGAGAACCCTCAGTTGGAAGACCTGGTGTATGGGAAGGATATCACAGGTAGCACACCTCTGCACTACGCGTGCCGCCTAGCGCACCTGGACATGGTGCGATTGCTCGCGAGGGTTGCTAACCGGAACTCAACTCCTGGCACGCACTTTGACTTCGGGACAGCTCGTGCGCGCAGTTCGAGTAATACGAGCAATGGAAGTGATGACCCGCCTGATACGAAACTTCGATCTGTTTCCTGTGTTAGCACAGTTCCCACGTCGACTCCTTCGTTCCGCTCGCCATCAGAAAGCGTGTCAGTTGGCAATCGCAGCCCTGTCGCGGGGATTAGTCCACGTTTGCGCGGAATGTCAACTGGCTTGCCACCGTCGTTTTCGATGCAACCAGGATTCAAACCTGGCGACCATAATGCACCCAAGCACCATGGTCGCCGCAGTCTCGTGTCGTCGATAACAAAATCCGGGAACAGTCGCCGCCTATCATCATCAATCGGTGGACTTCCTCCTGTTCTGCCTACAACACTCCAACTTGACGTATACAAGAAGGGATTCTTGCAGACGATCAGCGGCACGCATCGGGCTAAAAAGCGCTACGTGATGGTAGATGAGGTATGCCTATCCTACTACAAGACGGAGAAAGACAAAATACCGCTACAGATGGCCGAATTGTGCGATGTCACGATCAAGCGTGTGTCGAACGTGAACTGCAGTTTTGAAATTCGATCACCGCGTCTTCAGAGCTCCAAAAATCCGGACGGTATGCTTTCGTTTCTAGCTGATACCGAACGAGAGGTATACGAATGGATGCTTGCAATTCGCAAAGCGCGGGGGGTACGCGTGACCACGACGAGCCCTCCAAACCATAACATGATTTGCATCGACAGTGGCCTGCGTCGCGACTACGTCAACATGAAGAATAAGCTAGGCTTTACACCTTTGCACCTTGTCGTGCGGAACGATGAAGATGAAGGATTCGAGGCTGCGAAGGTGTGCGTCTGGCTCATTGAGAATGGCGCTGATCCGAATGCGGTCGATGAGAATGGAGACACAGCACTACACTATGCCGTAGAGCTGGATCGTTACGACTTGGTTGAAACGCTAATGAAACGTGGTGCAGACTCAAGTATTAAGAACCTAAAAGGTCTTTCGGCCGTCGAGATCGCTGAGGAGGATGACCTGAAAGAAATTCTTAATCCAGCGAATCATGCTTGGAAGGCGGAGGAGGCCTCCGGTGCCGATGAAGAAGCTCAGCCCGATAGAGCTGCTCTCGTTGAGCATCGGGCAAGACTAACTCCTTCGCTTTTTCCACCGCCTGACAGGCTGCACGACAGTACTTATGTGTCCGTATTCCTCGGTGCTGTGGCTGTGGCCACGTGCCCCATTATGGAAACACCACACTTCAATCTCTACATCATGGATTACAAGGGAGCTATTGTCGACACAGCACAGCGCACTCCGAAGTCCCTTATTCAGTCTGGAGGCAATTACTGGTGGTTTGGCAACACGTGGTACCTGCAGACCCCACTTGAGCATCTCAAGGACGGTAAGAACCGATTTGTATGTGGTCTGGTTTACACATGCGTTCCCGGCATATGTTGACAACAATCGCTTTTTTGTTTTACGCGAATAGGTAGTGTCGCGGTGATGGAGCTCCGGCATCGAAGTCTTGTGACACAGGAAGTTGAAGTGGGCTGCTGGACCTTTTTCCACCTGGACGTAAGCAAGATCACGACGGCGCCAGCAACCTTCGAAATGTACGCGCCACCTGTAGATCCGCTTAGTAAGATTCTTGCACGTATCCCTGGAGACTCCTTTCTCCAGGCCGAAATCAACGTGTCGCTGTAAGGTGCGTATCTCTGTGAGTTAAACTATTCGTCATCGAACTGAGTATGCTGGTTCGTGCCATCTCGCGATAGCGAATACAAAAACTAATGTTTTGAGCCCATAGGCAATGCAGCAAACAGCATCTATATTCCGGTAAGCAAAAGACATGCAGCTCGGCTTGACGCCAATCTACAATACACGGCGCTTCTTGGCAGAGTTCATGTAAGGCCGCAAAACCCACTCGTTCTCTGCCTCTTTTTGGTCAAGTGTACCAAGCTTCACTTGATACAATTGCAGCTCAAAGCGCGGCCCGCACTCCTGAAGCTCCACGTCGCGCCCTACCGCCTTAAAAACGTGGTGCCGGAACGATACAAAGTCATTGTCATTCGAGAGTGTGATCACGCGCTTGGCGTCAGGCTTCGGGACAGGGAACAGATGCTTCAGAATATTCGCAACGCGCTTGCCCTGCAATCGCATCGACAACAGACATGAGGTCAAGTCGAGAGCTACACACGAGGCAAGTCACGAGCGTACCAGGGGCGTCTCGAACTGGTTGATAATCAGGTGCGGATATGCCTCGGAAACGGTAGCGCGGTCTTCAATATCGTGACGCAGTACCGTACTGCTGAGCGAAAAGTAGGCTGTCGGTCCGTACGGTAGATGACATACCACCAGACCATCTACGCGACAACAACGACGTCAAGCATTCGCCGTACCAAAACCGATCGGATGCTCTTTTCTATCTCGTACCTGGCTCGCCGCGGGTCTCTGTGACCAATATCAAATCGGTAAAGTCGTTCGCTCTCGCGCTCTCCACCAACTTCGCCACAGCAACAACAGGAGCAGAAAACACACATACATACAAACACAGCACGTTATCCACTGCAGCGTCAGTACGTGTTTTTCAGCGCTCAGCACGTACGTCGCCCACGGTGTGCGCGCCACGATTAAGTCGAATTGCATTGGGGAAAATAAGACGAATCTCCTGTGCGAATTGTTTGAGTCTCGAGCTCGGCTCCCGCGACGTTGTGATCGCGATTTTGGGGTCAAACATGCCCGCATTTTTGTACTCGTCGTCAATATGGTTAAGCGGCTTCTCATGGGCTTCGTCCTCGTATTCCATTTCATGGCGCAGACTCTTCTCTACGCTGCGCAACTCCGTCGGGATAGCCTTGCCACTGCGAATAGCCTCCTTGAGCTGCTGTTTGTGGTCATACAGCGCACGCTCCTTGCCCTCTAGACCCTTGCGATAGAGGTACTCGCGGCGCAGACGCACATTCCTCCGGACCGACATGGCGCGGGATGGTCTCGATTATTATCTTTGTGGCTCTTGGAGACCAGTCGATTTGCGTGTCGCAAAATAGAATAGCAGCTGTTTTCGAGCAACAGCGAGATCTATAAAAGTGGTACAATTAGAATGGCGTTCGATGTTGTCGATATAGAAATAGAAACTGGAGGCACAGCCATGACTTTATTCTCACATTTTACCAATAGAGAAAGGAGATCTACCCGTCGCGCGAGTGACGCCAACATCACTCATATTGAATTTTTGTGAGTCCGTTTGCAGTGCGCTGGGATATGACGCTAGATGTAAACGTTTTCGGCGAGGTAACTGTTTGATAGTCCCACTTCATGACCGAATAACTCGAATCATACGGTTCCAAGAAGGTTTGCAGTAGAAATAGGTTAAGCTGATATGCGCTTGATTATCCGTCCTAGCTCTGTTTTGCGGATCGAATGCAGTAGCGGACCACGAGTACTTCTCGGACACATTGCACACCACGCAAAAAATAAACACCAATCGTACACTTTACTCAATTAGTCCTTCGATAATGTAACTAATCATCACAATTATCTCCTCCTTGTCCGAGGTGTCAGACTCATTCATTCATTCATTTGGAGCTTTTGCTGTTCCAGAAAGCGCTAAATATACTCAAATACGCTGACACCAAACTCACTCATGTGCTTTTTCAGCCTAGGAAGAGCAGACCACCTTGCTAACCTGTGCCTTGCCACAGCGGGTGTTGCGGTCTCCGCACCTACGCGATAGATGTAGCAGCGCAAATTCGCGACGTTGCTGCTCATACTTCTGCTGCTGAGAACGCTGCTGCTGTTGTCGCTTTTCCGCGTGCGACAAGCCATTTAATGACCAAACCCAAGACGATGTCTGTGGAGAAGACAAAGCTGACGACGTCGAGCTGTGACGCGCTCGCTTCTTCTTCATCGACAGACGAAGCATCGGTGAATTACTCGGACTGAGGCCACGCTCCCAGGGGCGCTCCTTGCAGATACGAGACAATACCACTGTTGGTGCAGAAGTCGCTGGGATCGCGATGGGTGAAGTTACCGGCACAAGCGGAACGGTCGAGGTGTTCTCGAGCATCGTTCTTGCCACGTCGACCGGACGTGGAATGTCACGGAAGAATAGCATCGGACACTCTGCTTTGTAGTGACCTTGCTGTCCGCAGTACCAGCAGTCTGAGAAGCGTGAGACCGTGTTGTAGCCGCCACCACCTGCCAAATTCTGACGAACACATTGATCGCAGTCCCGGGTGGGATGGTCCCTGCTGTAGCAAACGTAGCACGTTGCAACAAAGTTCCACGCGGTCGCATCAGACACGCAAATGTCCTCGAGACGACAATCTGCGCTCACGAGATCACTCGCGCGTTTAAACTCCGACCGAATCAGATCCTGGCCCTTGCGATGGAAAACAGCGCGTCCCACGTCGTGCGCCACCTCGAACGGGTCTTCAATACTCAGTCGCCAGGACACGGCGTGACTCCACTTGGTCGTCTTCAATAAGGCGCTTCCCACGCGGATACTCACCACGTCGAGCTCAAAGTTAAAGCGATGTGCATAAAAGTCGAAAAAGCCAGCAAGCAACGCTCCAACCGAGTTCATGTCAGACGTGCCAAACGTGGACGACACGTCTATCAGAGGCATCGACTGCAGCTGTTCTAGCAGTCCACACACAGTGGTCTGCGACTGCACATCCTGAAAAGCAGCGTGTACAGCTGGCAGCTCCATGTCTGCATATCGTGACTGCAAGTAGAAGATCAGCAACAGCGTATAACCTGTCAGAATTAATATTGTCGAGCATTTCATGCGTGAGTCCAGCAACACGCCCCTAACCAACAAGAGAGCAATCCACCAGTCACTCTCTCTGCCGCACCGTAAGAGCTCAGTGTCCCATTGACCGCGTCGTTGATTCCCCGCTGCTTGGCCCAGTACTTGACTGCAAACACTAGCGGCCGCACGCGAGGGTCCGCCTGTGCGTAGTACTTGAGCAGCGCCGTGTTCAGCAGCGCACTCGCGCCGCCTACACACACGTCACACGCCACCTGTCAAGCAGCAACGTCGATCCATTACACAGTTCCATAACAACAACCACAAAGCAACGCAGCGCCTTCGTTGTCACCTCTCGCTTTGGGTCCCAGAGCTTCAGGACCGGGACACGTGCACTGCGGACAAACGCCTGGACCTGAAACGTGCGCGACAGTCGCTCTCTCGCGGTCGTCAGGAGCTCCACGCGCTGCGCCAGCGGCAATTCGCCAAGCGCGTCGACGTGGCCATCGTGGAAGTAGATCGCGAGGTCGACGTCGCACCCGCCAAAGCCTAGATTGCTGCAATCATTCGAGCACACACAAACGATCAAAGGGGTTGATTGGTCGGTCGATCGTTCCGTTTTCTTCTATTTGTAGTGTCGCAGGTTAGGGTTGCGGGGCCACGACCTTTCCGACGAGCCAAAAGGCAACACGCGGCAGGTGGGCCATTGCTGTTGAAGCAGGTGTTGCACGCAGCGCCGCACGGCACGTTTGGCTGCCACCTCGGCCCTGGTGGGCTCGAGCTGCTCGAGCAACGCGATGCTGTCGACCGTGAGCTTGCGCACGCTGTTGGCCGCGCCCATGACTGCGGGCCGGTCTGGCGTCGCGCTTTCTTCGCGGGGAAAGGTCCGGATCTTGTGGCTTAGGCCGAACGAAGCAACATCAACGTGATCTGGGGTCAGCGACTTATTTATAGGAACTTGCGCCGAGGGTTCGGGGTTGCTGCATCAAAGTGCAAGATGCTGGTTTCTTAGTTGATGCTGCGTATTCGTTTTTAGAGGAGAGAAGAGGGAAGTCGGGCGCGTAACGGGATTGACGAGAGATCGTGGACTTTTTGTGCGATTTCGATGATACAGGATATAAGTTGTCAGCTGAGTATTTGACTCCTGTGAAGTATCGAATGCGGTCCACTGTGATTTCGTTTATAGAGTCTGGTCGTGTGTAACACGTCAACATGTAATCGTCCTTGCTTATCGACAAAGCGAGTCCATAAATGCGTTTCGGTGTGCGTACCTTGGGTCTGTTCACAAAGAGAGAGAGAAGCACATGTTCATTTCGTGCCTTGTGCCGAAAAGTTATCGAGAAGACATGCGAAATTGACGCTCGCTTGGTCCCGGGGTTGCAGAAAATCCGAAGGAATCTATTTACACAACAGCTTCTTGATTATCCCCGTAGCAAACAAAACGAAGGGGTCCGTCACACACAAGGACAATGGCGTCTTATACAAGTCTGAACCAGGCACCCGAGAGCTTCCACCTCATACGTAGGAAAGTAACACGGTGGAGACAGAGCTGATCACTTTTCATCTGCTGCTTCTATTTATGCTCCCTCTTCTTCATCGTAGGTACGTGACCCTTGATGACCAACAGTAAAAGGGGCTTTGAATTGATGCGTACCATGCTACAACTCTTCCTTGCTAGTTAGACGTCACACCATTGGCAACCAGGTGTCGCTAAGAGCCACGACAGTAGAATAAATAACCCCTATACTACTGATTCAACAAACGCAATGTCCACGTGGTCAACGTGTTTGTTTTATGCACGATCACGCTAAAAAACGAGTCGAGCAACTTCTGGTCAGAATCCCAGGTCACGCTTTAATTTCGAACGCGCGACATTCAATTTGCACCTGCTGCGATCTCAGTGACGGTCGCACGAATGTATGCAACGTTTGACGACAAAAAGAACAGCCCACGCCACCATCCGGCGGTGGGACCACGACCCGTTGTGTAACAGCAGTCAATCTCCCCGCGAGAGGTAGTACAAGTCGGCGTCGTAATAGCAATCGCAGTCGACCTAAAGCACCTTCGACTCCGGTCCCGCCCGTCGTCCCGCAGCCAATTCACGGTAGACTTACGTCTCTGTCTTGTACCCACTATAGCTCTTTGTGTTGCTGCACGAAAGTCTGCGGACCAACGCGCTGCTTCTGCTGTTTCTCCGAGCTTCTAACGCCTCCCTCTTCTCCCTCCCCATATTCACTTGTAGGTCTTTTTTGCCATGGACTCCAAGGTAAACCAGCGAGCCGCAGCGGACCTAAATCCTCCAGGCGTTCCCAGCTCCTTTCGACGTGCAAAGAACCAGCAGAACATTGCTTGCGTCTTGCTCCGTCGTGAGTTTGGTGGCGCTAGACGACAGAAAACGGTGCGAGCGGTGGGAGAAGACCGCGAAGAAAACTTCTGGGCTGAAGGTGAAAGCGCTTTCAAGGTACCACTTTGTTGGTGCAGTTGAGTCGAGACTGCTTGATAGTGACGGTGATGGGTACGGAGATGAGAGGAGGAACGAGACTGACGATGAGGAGTGGATTTCCGCTGTCTTTTTTGTACTTTTGGGTGCCACTTTAGCATCAAAGTCGGTACTTTGAGCTACCACAGACGACTAAGTCGACGATTTCTATCGCGATTAGTCCGGACGGGTGCGTGCTTGTTGCAGGAAGAAGCTGATCGAGGAAGCAAAGGCAGAGCTGGACCTGGCAGATCGATAGACTGAGCTTGTTTTATTGTGCTGTTCGTCCATTGATGCAGGAAAACGTTCGCTTCGACTCATGGAGATCACACAGTGAAGATCATATGCATTGAGACGGGTAAAGTTGTTCAGGTGAGAAGTTCGCGAGACAGAGAGTACTGCTTGCAGTATGGGAAGCTGATATAACTAAAATGTGCCATGTAGACGCTGGTGGGCCACCCGCGGACCCCGTGGAGCGTCAAGTTCCACCCCACCGACCCACGCTACGTGGCGTCGGGTTGTCTGGGATTCCAAGTCCGGTACGTCCGGAACACATTTTCGAGGTGCCCCTGGTAATGATGGCTAAATTTAGATGTCATGGCGGCGCTTTCGGTCGCAGGTTCTGGGACATTGAAACAGGTCGCTGCCTGTATGTTTCTACGCTTCGTCATGCCATCATTTCGATTTCCTTCCACCCATCAGGCGACATTCTAGCAATTGCAAGCGGAACATGCGTGTACACGTGGGATTACCAGGTGACGAAGCTTGGTATGACACGAGAGGCAGTGTGCGGTGACTAATGCATTGTGTGTTGTTATCTTGCAGCATACTTGCCCGCGTATTGCAATGTTTAGCTACCAGACATTACGCTCCGTTACGTTTCTGCCGGATCCGTCCAACATCATGGTTGGAGAAGCTAACGAGCGCTATGTGGTTCGTCGCAGCATGGTACCACACTTTTGCCATACCACTTGACTGACAGCATTATGACTCTGTTGTGACTTTCGTCAGAGACCCCAAGGCCAAGCCCCACCTTCTGATCTTACTGTCACACTGACTATGTGGGACTTTGATCCTTCATGGGCATTATCGCCAGAGCCTCTACTGACGAAAAAGGCGATGAATAACAGCCGCGTGATTCTTTCGCACGCTCTCATCTACAATGACGGTGGCTTTGATATTTCACGTTGCGGTCGGTACTTGGCAATTTGTGCTGATTTTTCACTGCGACAAGCTGAAAAAGAGGTGGAGATGGAAGCAGAAAATGAAGCTGCGACAGATTTGGAAACGATACTTTCTTCTGTACCGGCGACGAATGAGTCGGCTGGTGGTGTGACAAGCCCCAGTGAGGACGTTAGCGATGTTTCTGTAGCAAACCCGCAAGCTACCGCTTTCAGTGAAAGCAGCTCCTCTTCCGGTGCGGCATCACGCGCGACCCGCGAAAGTGCAATTTCTGTGCAGGCACTGCCAGTGACAATGCCGTTGTCTCTTCCAATTCGTTCACCACCACCTCGACTTGTGCCCATTTCTGGCATGCACGCTGGTGCCCCAAATATGCTGGCGGCGTTGCAGTCAGCAGCTGCAGACTTATCTCTTACAATGGATCAATATATGAATCAGCAAATTCGACGAGTACGACCTCGGCTGCACCCGCCACATGGTATTCAGCGCTACACTGCGGCACTTGAACCAACACGGAGTAGCACAGCTCCTGCAGCCGTTCCCCAACAGCGATATTCGCAAATTCGACCAAATATCGCGCTAAGTCGGACACGATTTACTAGGAACCAGCGCAATCGTCGAGGGCGATTATCATCAGAGAACCAGTCAACGTGGCTAGCATTGATCTCTCTCGATCCCGAAGAGCTTGGCCGTGTCATTCAGACATGTCATTTGGCTGAGACGGCGGCGGGTGGTGTTACTTCTGTGAAAATCTCGCCAACATCAGCTTATGTATTGCTCGGTTATGGTGTCCGAGATCGTATACAGCGGTGAGTTGCTTTGTTCATTGTCTAGACTGCTAGTTTTGCTACTCACTAAAGCATGCTTCGTTTTGTCGTGCTAGTGAGACAGAGTTTCCAGTCCACCGCGTGACACGGATATATCGGTGGGAGGATATGGCACTGCTGTCGCACGTGGAGAGTGCGATGGATGATGTAAATATAGCACTTTTCAGTCCAATATGCGGTGGCGGCTTCCTGTACGGAACCAAGCAGGGCAAACTCCGAGTCTGTAATACGTTTAGAGGCGACTTTCACGACGAAGAGAATTGCAATGTACTAGATGGTCCACGTCGCTGTCATTATGATCAAAATGTTAATGGCGACGACGATGACGAAGACGCTGATCTGGGCGAAGAAGGCGATGAAGAGGATGATGATGACGAAGAAGAGGAGGATGGAGAAGATGATATGGAAGGCGACGGAGAAGATGAGGAGGGCGGAGATGAGGATGCTGATATGGGTGATTAAGTTTTTACTAGTTCGTCGCTAATTAGAGTTGAAGGAAACGCAATGTGAAAACGTTTCATGTGATGTAATCGAGTGATGCACGTGATAGTGGTGATATTTTTCCAGCTCCTTGAGCTCCGTGTGCAAGTCACTTTCAGTGCTCGTCATCAGCTACACGAGCTGTGTCCGTTCCGTGGCCGAAAGTCTTCCCCAAAAACATTTCTTTGTCAAAGTCACTTCCGACGAATTGAGCCTTATCGACCTTTCGTGCCCGGTTTATCAGGTCAGCCGTCTCCTGGCGATGAGATTTCTGGTTGTCTTCGCTTTCTTCTCCTCCACATCCCCACACTTCGATGGTCTCAGCTGTAAACTGCTCGCTAGACGACAACGTACCCGATTCGAAGGACAAGTCATTCGAAGTTGTGTAGCTGTGTTCGTCCAGATCTTCGCTCAAAAATAACCGAAACTTCTCAGTCGATCCTCCGATACCAAGTCCGCGAGGAAGTGCAAAACCCTTCGAGTTCAAGTACATGTAGTTTTTGTTAGCACCACTTGCCGACACGCGGTAGATAATAACGTCAGGCTCCATCCGGTAGAGGAAACACCCATTCCCTCCATAGTAACGGCATGACTCCTTCCACTCGGTATCGCAAAACATGCCAAACACAGCTGATCCAACCAGATTTTGTCAGTGAAGGTCAATAAAACAGCGGGCCAAGAGGATGTTAAACATACCTCCTTGCGTGTCTTGGATGACCGTCAGTGTTGGTCCAGAATATCCTAGGATATGGTAACTTAGACGATTAAAGCTCAATCCATCCTGCGCACTCGTGTACAGGCGACTGAGCGGTGTCTGCATTAACGTAGTGACGGCCGATAACGCTACGAAATGTGACCTGGCTCGATAATGTACGGAAACAAATAGTGGTAAGCCTCAATGACGAGCAAGAGCGTAGCTGCAAGAAGTATGAAGTACCTTGCCAAAATGTCGCTTCGGTGCGACAATCGGGGCATTTCATACGACGGTTTCGTCAACAAGCCAAAGCTTTTACGGGCCATCCATGACATGAAGATCGTGTAGAGAAGAGGAAACTGAGCTCCAATCCATTGAACAAAATCGTCATTCGTCGCCTGGGTATGATTCGGTGGCATGGCGGCACGCCCGAGTGCTGTTGCCACGTGTGTGATACGACCCGCTTCTTCCACTTCTTCGCCTTGAGCCATAACTAAGCAGGCAAATAGTAGTTGGCTCAATCCTTGCTCCGTCGTGGCACAAGCGTGAGCATCTTCAGCAAATAGTCGGAACAGTGACCAACAAATTGACTGCGATGATGCCCGCACACATTGTGCCACTACCCGACAAGAAGAAAAAGAAAGTGACCAAGTAAGAAAGAGCGAGAGAAGAAGTTACCGCAGCAGCAGTAGACTCTCACCTGCTCGTGCAAAGTCTTCCATGAGCAAGTTCTTTGATCGGTCTCCGCCCGACTCTTTGTTTTCTTTTGCTTCCATGCACAAACGATAAAAGTTCAAGCCTACTCGAGCGCATGGAAGAGTCAGTTCCTTTGGGGCTGCAGCAGGTGGCGAAAGCTCGAGCCACGTCTGCAGTAGCAACGAATGTGAATGTGTGAGTACTGACACGATTTATAATAGCCTTCTCGGTCTGTTTACCTGTAAATTGGTGGAAACTGCAGCTTCTGACGACGCCGACGCGATCAATTCGTCGAACTTCATCCTCAGACACTCGTACTCCTGTAGAACCACATAGCAAGCAACACATACACACGAAAGTATCAGATGATTGTACTCTCAGTCACGAACGGACATCAATCCACAGCAACGAACAACCGCACATCGTCACTAAACGGTCCCTTCCAAACTTGATGTGCCGTGCGACTCGCAGAATTCCCCATGCCAGTAAATAGCTTTGTTAATTAGTTTGGATAATTCGTTGTTTTGCCCAAATGAACGGGTGATGCTACTTCTTCTGATACGCTCGTATTTTTGGGGCTTTAGTAGACGGAGAATAGTCGATTGTGGATACGGTTTGTCAAGCTTTTTGTCTCCGTCAATTAGAATATTAGATGATAGAACGAGACGCAGTCGAATACAATTGCAGTCGAGTGCAACGCATTGTCTCGCACTACCATCAAAGATCGAGGGCTATCTCAGAGTGTGCGCATCACAGCATTAGAGTTGTCGACGACTTTTCTCTTCTACAACAATGCTGCTTTTGCACTGCATCTCACTGTCAGTAGATGTTGCTGGTTTAATGTAGCCACATGTACTGCGTATTACGCTCCCCACAACGAGAAGATATGCGGATTGATGAGGCTGTGAATGCATGTCTGCTCACACTTGCGGTGTGCTGCATTTAGGCTGACACTTATACTACCACAATTGCGGTCCGTCGATTCGCTTTGAACTATTACGCTAAGTAAGCAAAACCTTTTTATGCAGTGCTGCTCCTGTCGTTAGCGCAGATCACAACGTGAGGTGGCGTGCTGTTGGCATGTTGCCGGACTGCCATAGACCGGTAGAGCCTTGAACCGCAGACAAAAGTAATCTAAAAGGTAGAGACGATTTGACTGACTATTTGCGAAACGGTGGTCTACGCCGGTAAATCTAATATCATGCTGTCAAAAAGGTTAGAGAAGCACGCTTTAGAGCTCGCTCGTTGATATTAGTAACGTTTGGTCCAGAGGTCTGAATCAAGTTTAGATATTCACGTACCTATTTCGAATAGTTGGAGTTGGTGGATGGGGAATATGGTGTGCGTTGTGAAGTAATGGTACCCAGTGTTGTTGTAAACTTGTTGTGTGACGAAGCAGCTAGTTGATGTTGCCGAAAAGTAGAATGAAATGTAAGAGAGCCGACGGCGGATCTTGCCCGCCAACAATATCACCAAATGCGACCGACGAGACGAATGTCGTTAATGAAGATGAGAATTGGAAGTGTAAAAGCTTCATCTACCGCCGAGCGAGGGGGGTGACCATTAACTTCTTAGTGTACTGCGTTGTGAGTCCGCCCTGTAGATAACTTGACAACTGAATACTCATTGTATCTTGGAAAAAGCTCGCTTGCCTTTGAGCACCGACTCCGCTTCGCCTAGCCATTTAAGCTAAATATCCCACATGACGATAATGACGTGTAATTACTAGAGTGACAGATAAACTGCGGAATGGTTCAACACATGCCGCTTACGTATGTTCTTTTGCTTTGGAGTCTACCAAGCCTCATTTGCATATCCGCAATATTAGGTTTCGTACCGCACTTCAGCACAACATCAAGCCATCATGTATAAGGTTGTGCTTACCTGTAACGGGGTGAATCGTTACATAACAATTTATAAGAAATTGTTAATAGAATATAACTATAAGAGTTATATTCTCAGAATATTGTCATAAGGACAAATATTCTGTAGCACTTACGAGTAGTTCCTAATTGGTTGATATAGGCCATTATATCAACCAACGAAGGCGCGCCACGGCAGACGCACGCAATGAGTGGTGAGCAGATAACTGATTTACACATTTGTATTTAGACATAGTTAGATGAAGATAAATAGTGATTTATTGCAGACATTAACTATGATAAATACAGTTCTACTTTTTACTTTAACCAAGTACTCGCTTCTTCTTACCGTCTTCCTCTGCACGTACGAGTGTACGTGAAGTTACGAGGCACCGCCTTATTCTGTCATCAGAATAAGTAGCTTGTACTGTCACCAGTACAAGCTTCAGGGTGCCCCGTTACACCTGGTAGCACTTCGTAGTCCGTCCAAGGACCACGTTCACATCCAACATGAATATGTTGGATGATGAAGATGACCAAAGCTTTCACGCTACGCGTGACGGCTACTCCCATTTGAGCGATGTCGAATGGGATGCGGTTGAACGAATGGGTTCGACCATGGGCATCCATGCTGTTAGCGTCATGCTAGAGGCTCTCAATAGAGATGCCCAACATGCTACTATCGCCAAGTTCATTCAAAATGAACTTGACGCAGAACGCGAGAAAGTAGCCTTGCTTCACCAACAAGGTTCTCAATAAGCAGAGTTGTTGAGAGAACAGGGTGCTCAACAGTTTGAACTGTTGAGACAGCAGCAGGCTGCTGCTGGTGGGTCGATGCACTCGCGTCGACCCGAGACTTTGAAGATTGACATCTCCAAGTATAGGGGGGTCGAAGAAGACTCCCTCTTGAGATGGTTCGTCGAATTGGATGACGCCATAAGGGCGCGTCGCATCGACGACGGGGATATGCAAGTTGCATTTGCCCAGTCAAATCTGGCAGGACGTGCCAAGACTTGGGCACTGGGGCTCAAGTTGCACGACCCATATGCGTTTGGGTCGTTGGAAGTCTTCAAGTCGCGGCTCAGACAAACGTTTGAACCGCCTAGAGCTGAGTTCAGAGCTCGAACCGAACTCTTGAAGCTCAAGCAGGGTAAGCGTGATGTGCACGCTTACGCTCAACACATACGACATCTCACGAGTTGTATAAGTTCCAATCCGGTGGATGAACACACGTTGGTTTCGGTGTTCATGCAGGGTCTTGCGGATGGTCCCGTCAAGACTCACCTGTTCCGGCTTGAACTAGATTCACTAGAACAAGCCATTTCCATTGCGGAGCAGGAAGACTTCAGTCTGAGACAGGCTCGCGCCAGCTCGACATCATATCGTCAACCGAGACGATATGACAACGGAGGTCCAGAGCCGATGGAACTCTGTTATGTAGAGAGCGAGAAGGCTCGCTCTACAGGCTACAAGAAGTTGCAGAAATGCAACAGATGTCAAAAGACAGGACACTACGCTTACGAGTGTAGTGCCCCTCGTCCAGTGTCTCGCGACACTGGGCGTAGTGACCGTCCACCCATGAGAAAGGGGCAGGGACGAGGGTCCGCTGTTGGTGCAAAGACGCAACAACGGGATGGACCGTCAAAAAACGGACAGGATCAGTAGGCGCGGAGCACCCTACTGGTCTAGCAACGTCAAGAGAATTTGTAGGCCTCTTGATGAAGGTTGCTCCCAACACACAGACGTTGTGCGTTGCTGCTCTAGGTAATGAGGTCTCACTCATTACCTTGAAACTCGAAGTGACGAATAAGTTGTCCCTTCGAGCTCTAGTCGATTGTGGGGCGTCCAACAATTTTGTGCGACGCCAATCGCTAGAAGATGGTCACTTTAAATTCAGAGAATGTGACACACCTCCTACGAGGATGACGGTACGTCTTGCGACAGGCGCATCCGTAACCGTCATGAAGCGTATAGTGAAGATCCACTATACGCTAGAAGATACCCAATACGACGATGACTTTATCGTATTGGATTTGGATGACAAATTTGATGTCATCCTTGGAATACCGTGGCTCAGAAGGTACGAACCACGGGTAAACTGGCAGCATCGAACAGTAACGATGCCTGCCGCTTGTTCATCAGATGGCCATCTGATGAACGTTTTGGAGCGTCCACAAGCGTGTGGATGTACTACGAGTGAGTGCGATGGCCTCACTTGTGGTACGGTCGTTAGTACGACTGCACAAAACCTTAGTGTACCAAACGGTTACACTTCGGAGCAAAGTTCCGGCGGCTGTGAGGAAACACAGGCTGCGCCGAAGGTCCACCACTCGAATAAGTCGGGTGGACTGGGACAAAGATGTATCCCTAGCGGGGAACATCTAGAAGAGAAACAATCGATCGCTCAGGTTAAGCGAAACGATAATCCTAGATCGACTGGAGAGTCTTTCGTAGAGGATCTCTCTGTGGTTGCGCAACCCCAGCTAGATGAAGTAAAGGGAATAAGTCCCAAGATTACAAATACGGCGGAAATAAGTTCCCCGAAACCCGCGGGAATAAGTCCCCGGGAAGACGAAGGAATAAGTCCTTCGAAGCCTGAGGGAATAAGTCCCCAGGAAATGACAGAGACATTGAATGTCATAGTCAATAACGGATCAAGTGTAGGCGCTTATACACTTGATCTGATTGCGCCTCCGAAGTTAACTTCGGAGATCACTCAGTTGCCAACGCTCGAACATAAAAGGTTCTTGCGTGATCTGCGTAGTGGCAAAGTCAAGCAGATCTGCATACTCGTCGCTGACGACGAGTGTGTAACCGACATAAGGTCAGCAACAGTGTTCACTGAGAACGAGAGAGTTCTCAGTAGATTATTCATGGACGAGAGTGTCTTAGATGAAAAGACACGAATTGAGCGATATGACTCCCAATCGTGGGAATCGCTAAAGACAAATCCTCTTTATGAAGATTTGGTTGAATTCAAGGATGTATTCCCTGAAACTGTTCCGTGCGAATTACCGAAGGATAAAGGTATTCGACACGAGGTCGAGCTTAAACCAGGCTCGAAGTACTGTGTCATGAAGCAGTGGCCACTGCCTCGTGAACAAGTACTTGCGATCGACAAGTTCTTTGCCGATCGTTTAGCTGCGGGCCATGTGAGGGAATCAACTTCCCCACATAGCTCTCCGACCTTCTGTGTGCGAAAAGCAACAGGAGGGTGGCGGATAGTGCACGCGTTCAACAAATTGAACGCTGCAACGGTACCGGCTCAGACGCCGATACCGAGGAAGGACGTAATCATTGATGGTATGTCGAAGAGTACCATCTTTTCGTCCATGGATTTGATGGATGGCTTCTATCAAATCCTTATGCGGGAACGGGATATACCCTATACCGCAGTTAGCACGCCTAGCGGCATGCTCTGGGAATGGCTAGTAATGCCACAAGGGCTCAGTAATGCCCCTGCCACGTTCAACAGATGTGTATCACATCTGTTGAGACCAGTACGAGAATTCGCGCCGAGTTATTTCGATGACGTATTCATCCATAGTCGAGCTATGGATGGAAAGTCGGACGTTGAGGTTCACAGGTACCACGTCCGACAGGTTCTTACAATCATGCG